GAATATTTACCAGAGTAGTCAGTAGCTATTGGTAGTGCTTATAATTATTTTAAACTAATGAATCCTATTTACAAAGACAGGGCTTATAAAGGTTAAGACCATTAAATCATCCCTATTCCACTTGTATCCTGTTCACATCAGTCAATTCCTTATTAATTATTCCCTTCCTGCTTGGAGAAGGCTCACAATATTTATTTGTACCAGATACAAGGGTTTCGCACGCCGTGTGTGATAAGCGCCAACCAACCAACGCGCTCCCCCCTAAGAGGACGTTAAGTTGGGAACTGGACCGTAGTCAACAGCAAAATAACTGGCGTACCAGTAAAATAGGGTTTGGCCTCTTGATAGTGCGTAAGCCCAAACAACGACCGAAGTCGCGCATGTCAATGCATGTAAACGCCATACAGAATACGATCAAATTCAAAAGCCCTCCGTGAGCGTCACCACTAATCGTCAGACCGACGTTCCTGCAGACGTGATATAAGCGTAAGGCATCTCCACTAATTGCATGATCACCACGGCTAATTAGCAGCGGAGCGTGTCATGAGTCTACTGCTCACCTCAAGTAAATGGGGTCTCACGTTACGCGGCTTTCGGCCGCAGCCTTGAGAGCCTCCTCAGATTCTCCCTCCAGCTACCATCCGCATGAGGTCGACACATATGCTCCACGAACCAATACAGCGGCAGTTTTAAATTATTTTTAAAACCAAAAAAAAATTATTAATTTAAAGGTTTTAAAAGACAATATTAAGCATTTACTATACGCTGATATTTAATATTCGAAATGAATGTATTTGTATGCTTATTAATACATTTAATTGACATTTAAAAATATGAAATAAAATTTATATATTTTTAAATGTCTTTATTTTGAATTTAAATATTATTTATGAAAAAATATAATGCATCGTCACATTAGGTACAAACAATAGATCCTCTCGTGGTTAAGTCATAGCTGCGTGGATCAGTAGTTCTGTGAGATTAATTTGCACTTGCTGCAGTCAGTCCGTGAATGAATGACCATTTTCTTAATATACCGAGATGGAGAGAATAGAGATTGCATCTGTGTCCTCAGATACTTGGTGCACTTTATTGCGTTAAGATCATTATATTTTTAAAACTCATGAAGCTAAAATGATAATAAGTTTATTATTACTTTATACTTTTCAGGGACATATGGAAGAATATAAACATGACGATACCTTAACAGTCATTTTTCGATAGGTCTTGTAAGTAAAATTTACATCACTAGCTAACGCACACAATGACAAATCAAAATTAGTCACGCGTTTTCTGGCTGTCAGGTCGCCTATACGCCAGTATATTCTAAGTCAATGATCTTAGTTCTCTGGGGTGGCCACACATCTGAATTTTGATTCTTAATCGAGTACAGATGTAATTGTCAATGGGCCACATCATTCACTTACCATCAGGTGGACTGTGTACTCTTTTGTCACCCATATTCTATAAAAACCATACTTGGACCACTGCTGTATGGTTCATGTGATGTCAAATAGTTCCTGTCTTTGATTAAGTGGGCTTAACTTTGTTTTATTTATATTAGTTTTTACTAATAAAGAGACAAATCTATTGAAAGATGTTGTGTGTAATACATGCGTGGAAATAGAAATGTCAGGTGGTCAGCTTTGTTCTCTTAATACTAAGATAAATATGAGAGTAAGTACACTCGTATCTTCTGATTTACTAGAAAGTGACACGCCTACTTGGTATTATATGTGATGTTACTTTCAAAGACATGACGTCTTTAATCTATAGTAATTTCGTTCGCAATGCAAGCAACACTCAACATCGATATACTCGTTTTTTTTTGTTATTTATTTTTATAACTTTATTATATGTTTAAAAGTATAAAGAAAATAGGATAAGACTTATTTTAATTCAGACGATCAAGTAAATTGCTTTCTGAATCCAGTGATGATAATGAGACAGAAACAGAAACTTTTTTATTCAATATAAATAATACTTATTGAAAGTCACTCTTTTGTTTAATTACCACTGCACTGGTTCGAAAAAAAAACCTCTGTCCTTTGAAGAACCAGCAAGAAACCCAGTGGGACTTTTTTTAAATAACAGCTTACAATCATGTATGTTACACAAATTAACAACACAACAAATTAGAAATAGCTTGGTGGCGATCACCTCATTTCCAGGGGTTATTATCATCCATAAATTCTTTAATATTATAGTAACCCTTTTTATACAAACTTAGTTTGTTAATATTTATTATATATTTATTAATACTTATAATATTACTAATAATAAAGTTTTTGAACTTTGAGCAGGTCAAATTTTGTATATATTCTGGAATTTTGTATACATCGCCCCAAGAATGAATTACTGACTCGATGAAGTCGAGTAACTGGTACTACTTGCTTGTGTTTGTTCCTATTATTTACAGAATGAATATCACTTATTTTTGTAAAACTACTTTTATTTTTGTGTACTTACATTACTTTACTTTACTTTACTTATCTTCATGCACAATCCCTGACGGGGTAGCCAGAGAGAACAGATCGCCAAGTGTCACGATCCTTACATACCTCTTTCGCTTCTTTCAGATTCATTATCTTCTTCATGCATTACATACATACTTACATTATATTTTCATAAATGAGGATTCCTTATATTACATAGCAAATATTAATTTTGCATACTTTAAAAACTAATAGTTAGGGAGGTATGAATACTAAGTCTAGACAGACACACAGTACAGAAGCGAATTGGATCTCATCTGTAATCCCAATTTTATATTCGACAACAGCGTTACTTACCGGGTCCAATCGTGAGTGTGAGTGTTTATCATAATCGGCCCAGCCGTTCTCAAGTCTCATCTTTCATACATGCGGCAACTGATTTTAATTTATGTAGATTTACCACTTGCTAAGCGGAAAATCTTCTACTAGAGTCAACAAAGCCTTATCTGTATGGATGAAAATATTTCGAAATCATTATGTTAATGCAAGATCTTGATAATGCCGTGTAGCTGCGGCGTAAAATAAACAACTACCCCCTACCAAATAAAATATATTATTACATAGAAGCTCTAAGACCCCACAACATCAACCCATAAAGTATCGTAAAAGAAGACATAGGGAAATGAAACAGGATATAGACAACAGTATCTTCTTGATAACAATTCAAAATAATAAAAAAATTATGGTGACCAAATCACTTGCTAAGAGATCATGGCAAATATTCCCGCTAAGTTCACCAGTGGACTTTTGATAAGCTATAATTAATGAATAAATGATGGATAATATACTGAAGGAGCAGAGTAGAAAACGGGTAATACGTTCATAATCGATTTATTGGTAGTTGTGATCTAGCGACAAAAGAGAAGGCAGACCGCGGTCGTGTTGCTGTTATTGTACCTCGTATTATAGCAGTGCCCTCTGTGTACGTTTCATTTAGCAAACCCAGTGTTTTTTTTTATAGGATAAGTGTGACAAACGAGCACACAGTCCACCTGATGGTAAGTGGTTGCTGCGGCCCATAGACATCTACATCTATCCTCTATTACCAATCAAAATGCAGATGCGTTGTCACCCGTGAGGACTAAGATGGAATGCCTCATTTCCAGTAAAAAGGGCCTCCGGCCATCTGCACTCACCAAGCGAAACGCAGAGGTAAACCTCTACTTCACGCTGGTATTCTGTGAGGTCGTGGTACCACCCCGGTTCGAGCCGGCCCATCCGTGCGACAGCAAAAGCCGCCACGTGGCTCTACCACTGTTAAAGTGGATTGTCAGTGTGGATTAAACAAACAGTTACTGTTTCCTGTGAAACCCATAATATCTAAAGATAATTTGACGGAAATATACCGTCTGAATTGAAGTAGATTTCATGTCTTTACAATTAATTTGATGTAAGATAACATTAGAAATAACGTATAAAAATAGAAAACTTATCACATTTTTGATCGAGTTCCTCACACTATGTTTGTGGACTAACAAACATAATTAAAAATTAAAAATTTTGTATTGCCTACTTCTATATAAGTTATTAAAAATAACTCAATAACTATTGGTCTGACTTTGATCAAATTTATATGAGACAACACGAAAAGTACCAGCTTTCAAATAAAACAAGAATCATCAAAATCGGTTCACCTAGTGAAAAGTTATGAGGTAACACACATAAAAAACATAGAGTCGAATTGAGTACCGTCTTCTTTTCGGAAGTCGGCAGAAAAATAGCGAAGTGTCATTTTTGCATTTTTGAAGTTTGAAGACTTCTTTTGGGGCGTTTGGAAAAAATTATGAGAGTGAATTTTTACGGTGCGCGCGCACACCGAAACCTTAAAGCAACAACTTCAGTGGGTAATTATCTCTCAAGTTTTTGTTTTATTACGCTAAAGAAGTATAACTTCCTACGTGTGTAAATAAGTAACAAAATTGAAAAGATTAGGAAAAAAGTGTGTGTTTGTGTACTTTTTTTCTAAATATTTTGTTACTATTACACACATAAAATTTACTCTTACAGAAAACACATCCTCAAACGGCACCATCTCTAATTTTTTACTGCACTAATAAATGTCTTTAACATTGTAAACGTTTAAACGGAACGATGTCGTTTGGTGACTATAATCACCATGGACAGGTAAGGCAAACATTTTTGTGGGGACTGCAGTCACCGTGGACGGTGGAGTTGTTAGTACATTTAACTTATTAGTGTAGTACTACTACTAGTAGTAGTAGTACTACACTAATAACTTATTAGTGTAGTACTACACTACTACTTAGTAGTGTAGTACTACTACTAGGTAGTGATGTAACGAATGTTGGATTTTTCACATTCGCGAATGCGAATGCGATTGCGAATATTTATCTTCAACATTCGCGAATGCGAATGCGAATGAGAATATTTTAAAATTCCAAAAAAGGCGCGCGTAAAATGTTTGACAGGTTTGACGTTTCGTGTCGGCCATGTTGTTATTTATCAAATTTAACTGATATTTAAGGGACAAAGTGGCATAAAAACATGAGTAAAGCACACATCAGCGAAGTTTGGACTTATTTTACAATATATGATGCTGAAAATGTTAATTGCAAGTTGTTTGATAAAAAGTACTCGCGCAAAGGCAGGACCACTAGTGCTATGAGAAATCACCTGGAAGCTAAACACAAAAAAGAATATGAAGAATTGAAGAAAAGAGAACATGAAAAGCAAGATGCTGCTAAAATTAATTCTTTGGCGTCTTCTTCGCGACAATGTACCAAAACTGACCTTAAGCAAATGTCTTTGAGTGATTGTGTTGAAAAAAATAAAAAGTGGGATAACAACAACACCAAGTCTTTGGTGCTGGATAATTTGATTGGCGAAATGATCGCACTGGAGGACTTACCATTTAGTTTTGTGAAATGTCTTGGATTTGTGAGATTGATTAACCAAGTATGCCCTTCATATAATTTAAAAAGTCGGCAATATTTTACTTCCTTCATTTGTGAGAAATTATACGGCAAGGTAAAAGATAAAATTCTGGAATTAATCAAATCATTTGAAAAATTAGCATTAACAACTGATATATGGTCTGACTCTTGCTCTGGAGTGTCGCTGATAAGTTTCACTTGTCACGGAATTACCAATAATTTTGAACGAAAAATGATTATATTGAAAGCAGAAGTATTCAATGATGGGCGACATATAGGAGAAAATATAGCGGCAAAGTTAGAAACTATGTTGTCATCATGGGAAATTCCCAAAGAAAACGTATTATGTATTGTTAGAGATGGTGGCACTAACATGAAAAAAGGTATTTCTTTATTAAGTATTAAAAACATTGATTGTTTATCGCACCAAATCCAACTTTTTGTTAAAGAAGGGCTTAAGTCACAAGAATCTATCATTGCAGCCATTAACAAATGTAAAAAGATAGCAACACATTTTCACCACTCTAATGTAGCTCAAGATGAACTTGTTAATCTACAAGAAAAGCTTAATCAACCAAAGCTCAAGATAATCCAAGAGTGTGTTACGAGGTGGTATAGCAACCTGGTATAGCAAAAAAAATATAAAACTGCGGTTGCCAACCCGCTCGCCAAGCGTGGCAACTATGGCAATATACCCCCCATGAGCAATGACAATAATAAACGGCCCCCAGTCCCCGGCGGCCCCGCTATTCCTGGCTACGGTGGCGACCATGGTAACGGCGGGGCAGGGGGTGCTAAGAATCTCCGGTGGAGGTTCGGTTGCCACCTACGACGACTCGACCTGGCAACATACAACGCACGCACCCTGAGGACTGACGAGAAGATTGTGGAGCTGGAAGAAGAGATAGACAAGTTACGCTGGCATATTATAGGATTATCCGAAGTCCGAAGAGAGGGGGAGGACACGGTAATCCTCGAATCCGGCAACTTGCTCTATTACCGAGAGGGCGACCATCTGTCCCAAGGAGGTGTCGGATTTATCGTCCACAAGTCTCTCGTTAACAACGTTGTAAAGATTGAGAGTGTGTCGACGAGGGTTGCGTACCTTATACTCAGAATCACCAAACGGTATTCGCTGAAGGTCATACAGGTTTACGCACCAACCTCGGCACACCCCGATCAGGAGGTGGAGGAAATGTATGAGGATATCTCTAGAGCCATGCATTCCTCCAAAACCCAATATACGGTGTTAATGGGAGACTTCAATGCAAAACTAGGCACAAGAGAGAACGGTGAGCTGAAAGTAGGGAAATTTGGAATAGGGCAACGAAACCCAAGGGGCCAGCAGCTGGCCGACTTCATGGAGAAAGAGGGACTCTTTATGATGAACTCTTTCTTCCAGAAGCGGCCCCACAGGAAGTGGACCTGGTCGAGCCCCGACGGTTCGACAAAAAATGAGATTGACTTCATTATGACGACCAGATGACAACTGTTCAGTGATGTCTCAGTGATCGCGAGGGTGAAAACTGGCAGCGATCACCGAATGGTTAGAGGCACACTGAACCTAAACGTTAAGTTGGAGAGGTCTCGTCTAATGAAGTCAACGCTCCGTCCCCCTCGTGCTCTAATCCAAAGTCCCGAAACCTTTCAGCTCGAGTTACAAAACCGTTTTCAGTGCCTAGAAGACTGCAATGAAGTGGACGATTTGAATGACAAGCTCGTGGAAACTGTCCATGCGGTCGGAGCTAAGTTCTGCAAGACCCGCCGCAGAAGAACACAAAAACTCTCCGATCACACTCTTAATCTCATGGCTGTTAGACGGGAGATAAAGCTACATTCTTCAACAGATTTAACAGCATACAGGCAACTGAACAGACAGATCTCCAAATGCATGCGGCGGGACTTACGCAAATTCAATACAGCTCGTATTGAAGAAGCGATCGAGCGGAACCGAGGCTCCAAAGTCTTTGCCAGAGATCTGTCTGCCAGAAAGCGCCAACTGTCAAAGCTGAAAACAGAATGTGGCAGCATCGTTTCCGGGGCACCTGAGATTTTGAGTGAGATTGAGAGGTTCTATGGGCAGCTGTACACGTCATCGTTGGAGCCGCACGCAAGTGTGAGTAACGATCCAAGAGCGAGTCTTATCCGACATTATTCCGATGATATCCCGGACGTCAGTCTGAGCGAGATTAGAATGGCTCTCCAGCACCTTAAAAACGGCAAGGCCCCAGGCGAGGATGGAATTACAGCGGAGCTTCTGAAAGCGGGTGGAGAACCGGTACTTGAAGTCCTTCAGAAGCTCTTTAATTCCGTCCTCCATGGTGGCATTACACCGGAGGCGTGGAGCAGAAGTGCGGTGGTCTTGTTCTTCAAGAAAGGCGACAACGCTCTCTTGAAGAACTACAGACCGATTTCCCTTCTGAGCCGCGTCTACGTGCTGTTTTCGAGAGTCATTACGAATCGTCTCGCGCGCAGACTTGACGACTTCCAGCCTCCCGAACAAGCCGGTTTCCGAAAAGGCTTTAGCACCATAGACCACATACATACCCTTCGGCAAATTGTACAGAAGTCCGAGGAGTACAATTTGCCACTATGTCTGGCGTATGTGGACTATGAGAAAGCCTTTGATTCCGTCGAAATTTGGGCGGTGCTGCAGTCCCTTCAGCGATGCCAAGTTGACTGTCGGTATATCGAAGTGTTGAAGTGCTTGTACAGTAGGGCTACGATGGCTATCCGAGTACAGAACCAGAGTACGAAACCTATCCAATTGCAGAGAGGTGTAAGACAGGGTGACGTCATATCCCCGAAACTCTTTACCGCTGCATTGGAAGATGTTTTCAAGCTTCTGGACTGGAAAGGATACGGTATCAACATCAATGGCGAGTACATCACTCACCTTCGATTTGCCGACGATATAGTCCTTATGGCAGAATCGCTGGAGGACCTAAGCACTATGCTCAATGACCTCAATAGTGTTTCCCAACGGATAGGTCTTAAGATGAACATGGACAAAACAAAGATCATGTTTAATGTCCATGTCACACCTATGCCGGTAGTTGTTGGGAACACTAAGCTCGAAGTTGTTGACGAGTATGTTTACCTGGGACAAATAGTCCGACTAGGTAAGTCCAACTTCGACCGAGAGGTCAATCGACGGATTCAACTCGGTTGGGCAGCGTTCGGGAAATTACGACACATCTTCTCGTCAGGTATACCTCAAAACTTGAAAACGAGACTGTACACCCAGTGCGTGTTGCCAGTGATGACATACGGAACTGAGACGTGGTCCTTCACTGCTGGCCGGATGAGGAAGCTTAAGGTCGCTCAGCGAGCTATGGAGAGGGCTATGCTCGGAGTTTCTCTGCGTGATAAACTCAGAAATGAGGATATCCGCAGTAGAACTAGAGTGACCGACATAGCCCAACGGATTAGTAAGCTGAAGTGGCAATGGGCCGGCCATATAGCTCGAAGAACCGACAACCGATGGGGAAGAAAGGTTCTCGAGTGGCAGCCTCGTACCGGCAGGCGAAGTGTAGGGCGTCCCCCCACTAGATGGAGTGACGACCTGGTAAATTATGCAGGAAGTCGATGGATGCAGGTGGCTCAGGACCGTGCTTTGTGGCATTCTTTGGGGGAGGCCTATGTTCAGCAGTGGACTTGTGAAGGGCTGTAATGATGATGATGATGATGATAGCACCTTTTACATGCTAGAACGCATTTTGAAAAACAAAGATTCGCTGTGCCTTTATACTTTCACCAGCAACAAAATTTCACAACTAACTTCAGAAGAATGGATACTTGTGGAAAAATTGATTACATTGCTTCAACCTTTTGAAGAAATAACTCGAGAACTAAGTGCAGCCAATGTTTCCATATCATCTGTGATTCCGTTATTGGCCACTCTGGAAAAGGTGATTGATGAATATTATGCATCTGATGAGTGCATAAGGAACACTATACTTGTTTTAAAACAAGAAATGAGACACAGATTTTCTCACTTAGAAAACGACATATTATTTGCTACAGCAACGTTTATTGATCCTAGGATCCTAGATACAAAACGAAATTCTTCAAAAGTCCTTCAACAAAAGGTCAGGTCATGAAAAATATTTTAGATTCACTTGGAGATGAGGACTTAAGTTTGCCGTCATGTTCAAAGCCAAAGTGTCCTAAAATAAGGAATCAGGATAATGAAAACTTGGGCTCCAGTACCAGTCTTTCAGAAAAATCTGTAACATTAAAAGAAACTATGAAAATGATGATGGACTCAAATGAAAGCGAGGAAGAACTAGATAATGATATTCCAAATCCATTAGAAGTATTAATAAAAAAAATATTAATGAATATGTTTTGGGTAAAAGTATTGAAAATGAAGAAGACCCACTTCTTTGGTGGAAAGTAAATAGCAACAAATATGGCATTCTTTCTCCAGTAGCCAGAGAATATTTGGTAACTCCGCCCACAAGTGTCCCCAGTGATAGAGTTTTCAGTGGAGCTGGACTACTTTACACACCTCACCGAAACAGGCTGCTCGGAGAAAGAGCCTACAAACTTTTACTTTAAAATTTAACATTCCATTGCTTCAATTTAAGTATTAAGAATTAAAAATTACAACAAATTTAATAATTAAATAGTCAACATGTTATTAGAAAAACTATATTTTGTGTACCTTCTTACTAACTTATATATCATTATTTTTATACATAGATAAATAACTTGCAATTGAAACCAAATGTTAACATAACAAGTATTAGAAGTTTACTTTAGTTTAAAATAAAAATAATTATAATTTTGTTTTTGAAAAAAGGTTTATTTACAAATAGTTAAGTATTCGTTGTTTTGTTTTTTAAGTTTATATTTCATTCATTATAAATATATTTTATTCCTCAGATATATAAAGTGGAATGAAAAAATATACATTTAAAGCCAAAGGTTATAAATACTTAATACATTAGATATTTAAAGTTTAATAATTTTGTTTCAAGTAATTGTTTAGTTTTTTAGTAAATAGAAACTGTAAACTTTATTTAACAATGGTAGAAAAGTAATAATATACTACTAAATAAATGCAAACCTTACATAGTTGTAACAAGGCTTTAATCAGCCTGTTAGATTTGATCAGATCTCTGAAGTTCTTTTTTCATAAATGAGACTTTAATTTAGAATTTAATTTAATAAAAATATCTAAGTGTTATCTAATGTATTATTATTTCATATGCATGCATATAATAATTTCCTTTTTGATTATTTAAAACATTTGCTAAATATTAGCATAATTTTTGCGAATGCGAATGCGAATGCGAATATTGAAAAATATGCGGTTATTCGCGAATGCGAATGCGAATGCGAATATCCGTTACATCACATCACATTAACACTAGTACTACTAATTTAAATGTTAAACGTGTATTATTGGGAGACATGGAGTGACTGCCTGCTACAAAATTCAGGAAGGAAGTCTCAGGACCATGCTTTGTGGCTTCCTTTGGGGAGGCCATGTTCAGAGAACTTGTTATAGACTCGAATAATAATCAAGGTGATGATGACTTTTATTTTTAAATTGCGAGAGAATTATAGTTCATTTAGTAAGCTTAGAAAACCGGAGAATTTTAACTGTTAATGAGGCATCCC